CAACTTCTGGCCTTTATCTCGGCTCCCGACCTACAGAAGAAGCTCGAAACTCGTGGTATATATGGTCACAGAGAGATGCATCTTATGACAGCTTGAAGTTGGTTCAAGCGATCAAGACATGGGATTTAGGACCTTGTAAATGTTCAGCGCATGGGGCGCCCTCTTGTGGGCGGCTGCCTGCAAAACCCATCCACCAACTTTCGAACGTCTAACATCAACTGAGGAAGGTAGTTGATAATGAAAAGGAAGCATTCCGTGACCTCTAACGACTCCTCAATCTTTGGCATGAATCTCCTTTAAAGGCAGCGCCCGCATTCATTTGATGTTCCTACGCCCTCCTTAGATATCGTAGCTTTGTCGACAAGGGTGGAGGATGTACTAATTTCGCAGCTCAAAAATACGAGAGGATGGCGCCACCCGCTTGTGAAGAGGATGCCGCCCGCCCACCTGGCTGCCATAACTGCTTTGGCTTAGCCTTTAAAGGCTGAGCCCGCTTTCAAGAATAATGAGTTATGGAGCTCATATAATACGTGATCCAGTAGTGAAGAAAAAAGCAGAAAAAATCATGGAAAATGCCCTATATAGAACCCTATGCTGGCCAGGTGGGCGGGGCGGCCGACTCTTCACTAGCGAACGGCGCTATCCTCTCGCCTTTTTGAGATGCAAAACTAGTACATACTGCATCCTCATAGGGAGGGCTATGATATCCAGAGAGGGCGCGGGAACATCAAATGAACGTGGGCGCTGCCTTTAATAATTCCGTAAGCTCTCAGTTGGACACAATAGGGCATTAGGTTCGATGCTTGTCTATGAGGTCGAAACTGAAATCTTCGAATCACTTAAACGGTTGTTAGCATTCCTAAGTGACATGGCCTTTCAGCCATATATATCCGAAATCCCTGAGATCGGGTAGGCGTGGCTGCGTGCTTCAACTGAACCTGAAGGTGGTTGTGCTTCTGGTGAGATATTTTCATCTTGACACAATTGTTGTCGTGTCTCTGTCCAACACAGAACAAGATGACAGTTGTCCCAGACTGGAATATTCCACGAGTAACCAGTTCCGTGCCATGTTCAAATGCCACGCCTACTCTGGCTCAGGGATAGAGCAGTATACTTAGCAGCTGGGCCCATGCGGTTTTAGCTTTTTAATTAGAGGTATAAAAGAGAGGCTGTCGAAAATGCTCAATTTCGTCGACCTGACACTCCAGTTTGAGCACTTAAATATTAGGAAGCCTTTGAAGTGATTTTGTGGAGGAGAGAAACTTTAAAAAAACTTAAGAGACTATCGTATAGCGCTCGGGATTCTCGCAAACCAGTAAACCTACATCCTTATGACAAACCTTTGCCATGATCTCGATAGCGCGATATTTCGAGTGAGAAAAAACGCCATTTTTATGGCCGACCCATAGACACCTCGTCATACAGTGGAGAAAGAGACTGAGATCCAGTGCTTGATATGGAGGCGTCACGATGTCTCTCTGTCAAGCGCTGGATTGCTTTTTTAATTTAATAATTAAATGTTATACCGTTGGCGTAGGATTCGACTTGAGGAAAAAGGAGTCGGCGGCGGCTGAGGTGATGCGAAGACTTGCTGAGGCAGAGGCGTTATAGGAGGTTTCGTAGAGTTGCTCTTTGCCGTGCTGACCGAAGAGGTAGGAGAAGGAGGCAGCTTTCGCCGTGCTATATCTGAGGTGTAGTTGTGATAGGGTAGGACGTGGGGATTTGAAGGAGGTGTGTGTGTGACTGTAGGGCCTTCTCTGACTAAACTGCAGGTGTTAGGAAGGTGCAGATTTCGCCGTATTGACAGAAGTTCGATCAGATGTAGGCTTGGCCGTGACGACTCGAGCTGAAGGAGATGCGGAGGTCGCCGTGTGAACTGGAGTTGAAGCAGTTGCTTTCACCACCGGAGGTGTCTGAGCCTTAGTGGAAGAAGCGTCCACACTCCCAGTAGGCTGCTTCAGCCGAAGACTGAAAATGTCAAAGATTAGTGGATGCAAGGTATTAGCTTGTGTGTTACTTACCACACTCGGAGCAGTAGTCGTTATTGTACTGGTGGCCTGTGATGTTGACAGAAATGAATTGCTGGCGTCGCTAGTCTTTGTAAGGTTCTTCTCCTCAAATTGATCATTTTTGAGCTTGCAAAAATGGCACATTGTTGCAAGTTACTACCAGAGATGGTGTCATGAGTAATGGAGCATAAACTGATTTTACACCCCTTCTAGAAATCATAATCATTACGTAACAATAAGGGCTTGGAATTTCTCTACGTTAGCACAGCAAGCGGATGTGGGCCAGGAGATTCTAATGCGGCGATGTGGTGGTTCGTGAGCGCATGCATTCCCACCAGGACGCTTGTTACTGATTCATTCTGGCAACAGGGTATTACAGTACCCGACCGACTATGTAATCTCAAATTCCTGAGATCGGGTAGGCGTGGCGGCATGTTTCAACTTAACCTGAAGGTGTCTATGCTTCTGGTGAGATATTTTCATCTTGACACAATTGCTGCGTGCTCTGTCCACCACAGTACAAGATGACAGCTGTCAGACTGGTATATCCCACGAGTAACCAGTTCCGTGCCATGTTCAAATGCCACGCCTACTCTGGCTCAGGGATAAGGAGTGTAGCTCACATCAGCAACGCCTCGCACGAGCTATTTTCTGCGTGTCGCCCCAACTCGGACCTCCTGCCCTTCTGCATTTCTCCCTTCCATGTCGCTTACACAGATGTGGGCCAGGAGGATCCCACCGCGCATCGCGCGCGATATTTTTGTCGCGCCTTTACCGTACATGTTTGAGCGGCACTCATATTGTCCTCCATGAGCCGGCGTGTGGGGCGTTGGCGGTGCCTTTTGATTCATACCTTTTCTAGGGAGTTGTGACAAAATAGGCGATAAGGTTCTGAATTATAATTAACATTTAGGTGTTGTTCTGCCAGGGAGGGGTAATTTGCCCTTTCTTTAGTCGCTTTTGCTAGGTCTCAATTAGTGAGCACCTTTAAATAGTAGTCCGAACTGCTGTGGAGCTGTAAAATGGTATGCAAACCACTCCGATTACAGGAATTACGGGGTTTTTAGTAGGTGGCTTTAAATAACTTCGCTAAGTATTATTGTGCCCCCACCAGCCACTGTAATTGTCGAAATGAATGAGAATATTATGGTTTTTGCTGAATGTCACCGGAATTGCGCATAGGTTCTTATCGTCAATTTCTAGCAATTCAATGCCTATAGCCGCGATTCCCATCCACGGTATAGGATATAGCCCTGATATTTCCCTTGACGGATACATAATACCAGTAACGTAATTCTTTTCTCAGAACTTTGAAACTCACTGCAGCTTGAAGGCTCGTGACGAATTGGCGCAGATCTTTGGCGAGACGAGCCGACTCCGTTTTGGAATCGTTGAGCAACGTAGTTGACAACGATATTTTGTCCAGCATAGCAATCGCACGAGATAGTACCGCCTGAACGCTGCTCATTAGATCTCACACTGTGAGGGAGTTAGGCACTATTCACCCTCACTGCGCTCGTCTAGCGCCATTCTGCGGAATCGGGGTCACATTTTGGTCGAAATTCCCCACAAGCGGGAGATTCGACCGAATTTTTCGGGGTTATTCGAACCCCAGAACACTAGTATCGCATCCGGTTAGAGCGGAAATGCTGGTCCTACCACCTGAGGTTGATGCCCAAAGACAGTTCTGGCGTTGGCGCAACTGACGGTCTTGACGCGACGTGAGGCCTGCGGTCTCCCTGTTGAACGTGAGCAAACCTCAAAATTCCATGCAGGTTCTACCACATGAAAAAGTCGCCAAAATCAGGACAAATTTCTGACAACAACTACCTAAGCGTATAAAACAGCTGCTAAAACAGATGATCTGAAGTCAACAGTGGTAAAAATAAACTGCGTAAATTTCTCACACGATATTTTCTGGGATCGATCACTCCTTTTTCTGTCCTTGAAGGGCTCCTGAAGTAAATTCCTCTGTGGAGCTTGTGTGAGTACTAAGCAGTAAAACATCTGTTTAGAGTGGTTCGTAGACAGGGGGACTGTTTCATGTAGCGTCACGCAGGCCTGGATGTCGGGTGGGAAATCTGTGTAGATGCATGCACAAACTAGGTGATATTTTATTGATATTTGGCTCACATAAATTTCAGTACTCCCCGTTGATTAACTGGGGCCCTGAGACCGCAAAATGCCGCCGAACATGATTGAACGCGCGACGGCTGCCAGAGTGTAGGTTTAGAGATCCACGCTGCGGCGACTCTGCGAAAGTAGCTTTGGAGCAATGTGGACCCGAGCTTCACTCCGGTAGCCTCAGTTTTGGCGCAGTCCTCTCTGCACTGTACTTTGCGACATCAAAGAAGCTCGAAGCATCAAGGTTTCGGCGTCAGTCGGTCGCTTCCAGAGTGCAGTATGATATCTTCTTTCATTCAGAATCCTAGCTTCTTTTGAGTGCCATATTGCCTCAACGGTGACTGACCAACAAGTCACGAACAAGTCCCATTTTCTCGCTTCAGCTGATACCAAATAACCATCCCTGGAGTGATAGAAAGTCTTGCTAACCCACAAGCCGACCCTGGATTTGACTTCCAGAACGCGCTCGAAGTAAAATGTAAATCAATTAAGTCAAAACTGTCGGAAATGCCACTTTGGCTTGTACTGAGTTTTTTCCCCCGTTATATTTTACTTGGGCACAACCTTGAATCATTTCCACCTGGCATTCCTACAACATACTTCACGAGCAGTATTTCGAAGCCTGGCTGTTGCTCGACGTATCGCCTCTATTCGCTCAGGCAATCGCGGCAACAAGCTTTCCCGGCCTGGGTTCTATTTGATTACACCAAGGGTATAAAAAGGGGCATGTTTGAACCCTGTCCCACTTCCTTTCCTTCGCCCATTTTGAGAAGTACCCTCACCTTAATGAATCGCTCTTGTCGTCCATTGCTGGTTGCTTCTGCGATGTCGGCTGCTTCTGTGACTTCTCACTCCATAGTTCATGTAAGTAAGCGAGTCTTTTGTTGGCCTGAAACTGTCAGGGCAAGGTTATCTAATGACGCCATTATAACATCGATGAGAAGGTACAAAGGTTTCTGTATGAAAGGTAGTAATCCGTAAGATGTGTAGATCAGTTCTATACTCACCATGTTAACAATTCCTTGAGCTCGCTCTTTACTCAACGCAATTTTCTTGCGCAAGGCCGCAATCTGGAATGGGGATATTCAGCCGAATAGCGACAACAATGCCTTCCGATAGTATTATTTGCTTGCCAGCACATTCTGCTCTGCTTGCGTGGGCGGAGTCACCATCAATATGAACGGAGCACTTGCGACTCCGCCCACGTGATCATTATTGGCAATGCCTTTAGCGCCACACCTGCACTTTAATGCAGCTTTGTTGTATTTCATATAGGGACGATATCAGAGCGGAGGGGATTACGTCCACAATAGAACGCGCATTCACCTGCCCGTATCCGTGCACGTATCTGAAGATAAACTGTGCACTCAGCTTCATGGGTCCTGGTCCTTTCCATGTGTGAGGTGAATGGGCCACAGCTGCAGTAGCGTGCCTCTTTCTCCCCGTGAAAATGCAACGGGTTAGAGAGCAGTGGTATCAGGTCGTCGTCTCCATACTTCCCCGCGCTGCTGCGCGGTCGGCCACACGCCTAATCACGGCCAAACGCGCTACTTGTCTGCACTCCCTCACTTTTGATTGTTCTGTACCACACGTGTTTTGGTGCGAGACTTTGGTACCGACGCAAGTGCAGCACTTTCAAGCATAGCTTTTGCGGAGTATGGACACTCGGATGCCACTGTCTCCAGCCCCGTTCCGCGAGGGCTCATTCACCTCGTCCGTGAGAGCCAGAGGTGAATGTTACAGTTTATCTTCGAAATTGGGCTCAGCCTTAGCTTGCATTCACACTGATATCAGACATCTTGGAATTGGATATACCACAGGGCTAAGAGAGTGGTTATCATAAGTAATCAATGGTTTTATCCTCCGATACTGGAGTTATCATTCATGGATATGGGTGAGTGAGAATCACTTGAAGT